AGTATTTAGATTATAATATTATAAAAATATGAAATAAAAGTAGCACATATTACTGTAAATATTAGCACTTCAGCTGCATGATTACGTATATGTGAGATCAAGGATGAGTTCCCTGAAAATGTTTTATTACATAAAGGACAAGATACTAAGTCCACCTATGGGAAAAAATTTTGTGCAAAAAAGGTTTGTTTTAAAATTAAAGAAAAAGAAAAGAAACATTCGATAGAAATATTTTTTTGTTTTTTTCTGATTCTGATTTCAAATGGATTTTGTAAATAGTGTTTATCGTCTTTTTTTTTTCTTTTTTCTGTACACATTTTGAGATTTCATTTAAATCATCATTTGCGAACACTATTTAAAATCAACATTTGAAAATAGATTATCATTCTATATAAAAATTTTAATTATTTTTATATATTATTTTTTGTACATTCAGAAAATGCAAGCTTAAGTCGTTGATTTTTGTTTTCTTACGAATTTCTCCAATGAGATTTGTTTGCTAGAGAAACCCAACAGTTTCTCAATTGAAAAGAGCGTCCCTATAAAATTATAAAAAAAAGGAAAAAAGGAATGTTTGCACCATTTTTAATATGTAGATATATGGATTCTATATATCGCCGAAAATCAATTATGAAAACGTTTTAAAAGCATTCTGAATCGAATCGAACATAAAGCTCTATATTAAATTTATTGAATTTCAGCCACAGGAAATTCAATTCACTGTTATACTCATCTACAGCAGGACATATTTAACTACTATAGATGAGTATAACAGTTAAATATATCCATGTAATTTCACACGATTAATGTTTTAAATTTAGTCAAGACAGAATATAGCACAAATAAAGTCTTAATTCTTATATAAACTAAGCTTAGTGTAACGTTCACTTAGTTCCTGTCAACGATTCATTTATAAGAAATTTGCACTTTGTTAAATTATTGTTATTTTTTTATATATAAAAAAGTAGATATTTTAAAAATGGTGCAGACAGAAAAACAAAATGGATACAATTATAAACAAAATCCATTTGAAATTTACATTTAAAAAAATTAAAATAAATTCAAGAAAATTGTATAATTCAAATAATCTATAAAAACATATTTTAAAAGAATTGTATTTTAACAAAATTTTAATAATTAACAAAAAAATTAAAAATATTTTTAATAAATAAAATATTAAAATATTTAATTTTTTAATTAAAAAAACATTTTTTTAATTAATATTGCAATAATATTTAAGAAAAAAAAATTGTATAAACTGTGTATACCCTTATTAGTATATATTATAAAAAATAAAATTATACGAAAATTTCAAAAAAAAAATATTATAAATTAAGAATGAATAATTATAAAAAAATTAAATTTCTTCATTGGAACATAGATTATATTTAATTAAATTATTTATATACCGGTACATGTAAACAAAATTATAAATTTTATTTCTGAAAACAATATTGCACAGTTTCAATTAAAAAATAACAAAATAAATATAAATTATTAATAATTTTACCAACTAAGAGTATGACTTCAATATAAATATAAAAATGTAAAACTAATATATTAATAAAAAAAATAAATAAAAATTAATATCTCCTAACCCAGATTTTTTGTTACATTGTAGATTTTCTTAACGTATTGAATAAAAACCAATGTTTTTCAATTCAATTATTGTGCGATTTCATTTATAAACTATTATAAATTAAATGTACACCAGCCAACACTGGTTTAACTGTTATACCAAAGCCAACACTTTGGTTTACTATTTATTAATTTAGTTTCACTTCAAACCAAAGCCAACACTTTGGATTTAATTTTTCGTTTCTTACACTTCAAACCAGCCAACACTGGTAGTAGGGTAGGGGGATTCAGCTCAGCTTGTCTAAAATAACTTAATTTTTTTAAACTGTTATACATATATAGGGAAAGCCAAAACTTTCCGATTTTTTGGGGAACCAGCCAACACTGGTTATTTAATTATTATTATTTTTAATAAATAATTAATAAATATGTTAAATGTTATCATTATTGTTAATGGCAATTGTTAGTAATATTTGTTAGAAACCCATCACCAATTGTTAGAATGGTTATTAATATGAGATGTTCTTTGGAGAAAGAAAACATGTTTCATTTGCCTGAAAAATTATAGTAACTGATATATTAGGTGGGAACATTTAAAACAAAAAATAGAAATCACTTAATTATTAATTTAATATTAATAATTTAAAATTGTTATTGCAAATTTAAATATGTATGTTGTTGAATTTATAACGATTGAGATCATGTTACTGGCTGTTTAGAAAACGTTGAAGGTCACTGCGTAAGAGACCCTATTGTATATACAATTTCTATATAATCTGGCATTACAACTATAATAGTTTAAGAGGAAAATATGCGATATACGATTATAATCTCTTGTCGACATCTTTACTGATATTCCACAAGTATAATAAAGTGACCGGAAATCAATAGTTAGAAGTATTTGATAATCGTGTACTCAATAAAACACCGTTTGGAAAATGACGAAAATCGGTAGAATATTTGTTATCGGATCTAAACGTATGTCTAGTTTAAGCCCCTTTTACTATTAGCAAATCAATATTTCCCGAGATATAAACCACCAAAATTCGCTGGGACCCCTGAATTTTCTCATGCTTTTTTGACAATAGGTTGTCAATTTTAAACTGTCGAAGTTCTGATTGCGAAAATTATGTAATTAAGGTCAACCCTATATATATTGCAATACAGAAGGCATCTGAAAACCTTCATTTCACAATTACAATAACTTCAGTTGGAAAATGTCCCATACGAGCATCAAACTCGCTAAAATGGTGCGAAACCGTTAAATGGAGGCTATGTCAAAACATTGACCTAGATTCAAAACCCTTAAAATTGAAACCCCGAAATGTCAAAGTGCAGTTGAAAAATCCAGAGGGGTTTTAACTTACGAGAATCTGAGAAATTTCAATTGCAGGCACTTTGGTTCGGAAAATGGATCTGGAATATTCAAAAATACCTAAACGGGAAGGGACAACTTTAACAGAAACTACATCAAACAATGGGCATATATTGGACATTTTTTATCTGAGGGGTATATTTTCCTCCGTGGAACTCTATTTGATAAGCTATCGCCAAATTTCTGTGGGTAAATGTGTCTAGGAGCATTCAAATACCTTAAAGGGGGTAACCCTTTATATGGGCTGTATTATGGTGTTTTATCCTCTGGTAACCTGAAATGCAGCCACTTCGATTAAAATGTGCCTGGGACCTTCAATACTTCTTAAAAATGTGCGGAGCATTCATATGAAAGCAATGTCAAAACATGAACCCATATTATATTTTTTCCACAAATAGGTATTTTACCCTCTGAAATCCAAACATTCCAGACTTTTAACTTTAGAGGCCCCGAAATGTCTAAATACAGTTACTCCGGTTGAAAAATGCGTCAAGGATATTCGTAATACCTAAAATGGCGTGGAGCTATATGACAGAGTCAAACCAAATTTTGCAAATTTTCTATCAGGAGGTTTGTTGTCCTCTGAGAACACAATATGGCAACCTATCATCACTTCAGTTGAGGAATATGTCAAGTACCATTAAATTACCTACGAACGGATCCCTGTGTATGGACCTATTTGGGGTGGTATTTTACTCTCTAAGAACTTGAAATGCCTTATTACAACAAATTCCGTTGAAAAAAGTATTTAGAACCTTAAACATAAATCAAATATGTCAGAGTAGGTCCCATGTCAAGTTCTAAATATACGAAATACCAAATTACAATCACTTGGGTTCGGAATGTGTCTAGGATATTCAAAATACCTAAAACGAACCGGCACCAAACGATTGCCTTATATTGCGATTTCTATCCGGAGTTCTCTTTACCTCTGAGGACTCTTTATTGATCATTTTCTTTGAGGAGGTTGGTATTTGTCCTCTGAAAATCGTCCATATTCCATCTTGTTATCCAGACTATAAAACTCGTATTTGTATAACCGCTTTGGTTGCGAAATTCAAAATTCTAGATACCGATCTTCAGCTAGAGAATACGTTTTCCGTGTCCATGAGTTTCAAAAATATTTATCTAGGGTATTATATCTAAATTATTATAACTTATCAGCAAAGTTATCAAAAACACTTAAGAGCCAAAAAGTCATTCCTAAGATTCGATAAACTGATACAGCAGTGAATGACCCCAATCGTATAAAAACAACGATAAATAGATATTTTCATTTATAAATCGATTAATTTTTATCACTTTTACAAAAAAAATGGGTATTTTTTGCAAATTATCCAAACTGTTATACAGCCAAAATGTGATTCCAATTATTTGAAAGTTCATATTTCACATACAAATGCTTAAAGACGCTTAATTTTCGGAAGTTCGTAACTGTTATACAAACTGTTATACACTTCAAAAGTTTTGTATATAATTTAAAATGCGGTATTTCATCTAGAAATACGAAAATATGTAATTTTCGTTAAATTCGTTACTGTTATACAAACTGTTATACACTTCAAAAGTGCTGTAAATGATTTAAAATTACGTATTTCACCGAGAAATGCGAAAATATACAATGTTCGTTAAATTTGAAACTGTTATACAAACTGTTATACACTTCAAATTGAGGTAATTTCGTTGAATATGCCACTTTTAACACAAATAATTTATTACACATACGTTTGAATGCATGTAATAACTGTTATACAGTGTGAAATAAAAATTTTTTCATTGGATTTCGAGAGGGATAATGAATTTTCTTTGTTTTGTAATTCATTAAGGTATTGATATAAATTATGCACCTGTTTTTTAAACAGCTAAGGGGATTATATTTTATTCCAAGCGTTACTGGCCGATTTGAAGGTTTACTGTTTTTTCAAAAAAGTGATTATTTTACGCACACGTTTTTTTACCGAATTTGAATAAATTTTTTAAAACCCGTTTTTTGTTAGGCGGTGAGCGGGCGCTCTCTTGCACCTTTGTTGTGCGACGACGAAAAGCTTAAGCTTACATTTTTTTGGGATTTTTTGAAAGCAATATAATGTTTCTACAATAGTTTTATACAAAAACAAATAATAGGTACATCTAAATGTTGTATGGTCTTCTCCAATTCATAGGAGGACATGGTGATTTGTTGTAATTTATTTTTAACACCGTTACGTGGACGGCGCGTTGGTTGCTGTTGCTGTTGCTGAACTGTCTGCTGCAGCAGCAAATTTCGTAGTTGCAAAACAACGCGGCGAGAGAGCCAATATGTAATGTTCCATTGTTAGAGAGTCGAATTTAAAAAAAAAATTAAATAAAAAAGAGAGTAGTTTTTTTAATTGAGAGAATGCATTTCGTTGCCGTAGTCATCGTCGGGTCGGGTTTGATGGAGCCGATTTTTTATCGTTTTCGGTTTTTTTTTGCAATGATTAGAACAAAATCAAAATAGTTTTTGTGTTGTCGTGCAGGAACAATTGGGAATGAGAGGGGTGGTGTTATGTTGTGTATTGGCGGGTAGGGTGGTAATAAATAGTTGAATGTCCAAAGGATATAATAGCAATATCCGTTAGGAAATAAAGCAGCATGTGTAGAGTATAAGAAAAGCAAAACAAAAACAAAACAGAAAATCATTTCAAAAGAGAGAGAAAAAAGAGAAGAGAAGACAAAAAAGAAATTCACTCGTTTAGATAAAAAATATTACAACATATTATAACACAATCTTCATCATCATCTTCTTCTTCGTCGTCTATGTGATAGTTCGGGGAGATTCACAATTTTGGGGGGTTCGGTATGTTTCTTTTTCAAATGAGTTTGGGGGGGTTTAGAGACACACACTTGTTGTTTGGAGCATTGGCGTGGGAAGAGTACAGGGATATGGGGGAATTTAGAGGATAGGATTCGAAAAAGGATGTGGAATTTTGAAGGTGTTGGTGGTTAGGTTAAGGTTTTGTGGCAAGTTCCAATTTCATTTTTTAGAGTCTCGCCAACAGCTCACCAATAACTCCAACAACAAGAAAAACAAATCGTAAAAAAGTGGGTGAAGGAACAACGAACATCAAACACTTACATCTTCTGAATCGTCCTGCGACTGTAGACTATTTGTTGAATTTGTGGAATTTTGCAGTTGCTGGTGTTGTTGCTGTTGTTGTTGCTGCTGCTGGGTCTGCTGTTGTTGTTGTTGCTGTTGCGTTTGTTGTTGATTCTGCTGTTGCTGTTGTAATTGCTGAGGCATTTGCTGTTGATTCAATGCGTTCGAGGAGTTGGTGGTGCTGTTAACCACAGCGGCGACGGCGGCGGCAGCGGCTGTTGCAGACAAAGCCGGTTGTCCGGATGCAGCGGAGGCAGCTACAGATTGATAAAAACCATTACCGCTATTTGTCAAATGTTCCGAACACTTCACACAGGTGGGTATATTATAGCCGGGAACTTGAAACAACTGTAAATAAAAAACAAAAACAAAGAAATTAAAAAATTGAAAACAATTGATTCAATGAATTTTTCATCACAAGAAAACTGTCATAATTACAAAATGATTTTTTCTCTATATTAAAATCTAAAAAAATCTGTTTTATATTTTTCTCTGCTCTGTGTTAAGCTCCTCAGAAAAATATATACTACTTTAGCCCTATGCGGCTTTAAGGCTACTAAGGGAACCAACGGCAAAGCATGAAAAAAATACATGGCAAACTAAATGAGAAAAAAGCGCAAAAATGAAAAAAAGCAAAAAAATAAAAAAGAACAGAACAAAAAAAAATAAACACATATTAAGACCCAACATACATGGTCGGTTGGTCGGTCAACTGCTGGAGCTTGGCTATGGCAGTAACAACCACACCACCACCACTGACAGCAAGAAAAATGAGAAACAGAGGAACACAGAAAGAAAAAAAAAACAAAAACAAAACAAAAAAATAATAATATAAAAAAATCTACAACAACAACCAAGGCGCATAACGAACTCTTGTTGTAAGTTTTGTTTGGTTATCTTTACATCTCCGAGTCCCTGCCATACCATAGGAACCCCCCCTGTCCAACTCCCAAACCCATCTCAACAAACCCATAGTAGCCCCCACTTTTATCCGCACTATTCACTCACAACCTCACCTGACTCACTCCAACACCACCACCCTGCTTGTTGGCTCTTTTGGAGAAGACAAGTTGGATAAAAAAATCGACAAAAGCACAACAAATAAAAAAAAAAACAAAATTTAAAAAAAAAATAAATAATAATGAAAAAAAAAACAAAACAAAAAAAAATTGAAAAAAATAAATAACAAGAACACAACTCATGTCAAAGCACCAAGTAAAATAAAAAAATGGGTATCTTGAACATGGCCAACCAGTAAGTGAGTATCGCATCGTATCGTCGTAGTATAAAGTTAAAATCATTCATTTGGAATGAAAATCTTAGCGTGAGAGGTATTATATCCTTAAGACAATTCTGAGAGCATTTTATTTAAAGTGGACTTTTTTAAAGTTTTTTGATTTCTTTTTTTCTCTTAAACTTAAGTTTTAGTTATAGACAGCCTCGTCAATGCCTTAATTATAACTAAATTGCCTTAAAATGGCCGTCAAATTAGACTGATCCGAACTTTTTACACCCTCCGCTATCATGTGGTAATTAACACAGGCAGAGGAAACAAAACACCAAACTACGGACACTCAGGTTCTAATATTGGGCTAGGACTTTCAACACACCAAAAATAATGCGTAAAATCTTCAAAATACGAAAAAATGGGTGTATATCGTTATATGCGGCCTATGTCAAATGTTACTTTCATACAATATGTCGAACAAAGTACTGGGAAATTTCTATGAAAAAAATGCTAATTCATTGTTTTTTTCTTCTTTTTATATATATATTCGGCATATATATTGTATATACCGATTTCTCTTGTTTAGTGACTTATACTAAAATTCGATGGAGAATATTTTTGTTCTTTATAACATCCTTTTAAAGCGACACCTAGTGGAGAAAATTAATACGAACTCGGAATAAGATCGGTTTTGACCCTAAAATGTGTTCTCATATTTTTAAGAGTTCTGACGCTTCGTTTGATTCTCGAATTTTGATCTATACTGAGACTTATAGTAAAACTTTGTTGCGAACTATTTGTAGAATATTCTGACCTGCTATAACGCCGTTTTAAATGGATTTGTAAACATTTCATGGAAATATAGATGTACCCATAAAATGCAAGGATTTCGAAAACTTCGAACTTGTGTGGGCAATGGGAAATATTACCCCTCCCGCCCTCTAAGATTACTTTCCCACGTATACTCTTAAAATGTATCGGCTCCTATACATAATTTTTTGGAATTTTCCGTAAATTATCTTTTGTGTTGCACAGTGTAATTCATATTAAAACAGTTTTCCAACCAAAATAATTAAATAATCAAATGTATATATTAAAGTCAATTCGGTTAAAGGTCGTTTCTGAAATCCTGCCAAATGCCGAATATTGAGGATACCATTATATGTGGCTATACTCATTTTCAATAACAAATATCCTACGGGTATAAACAATGTATGTACAAAATGTCAAAGCTCTATCATCAATATAGTCAACCTATGTTGAAATCCCAACAGACGGTTAGACATGACTAAGTCGAACTAGAGTTCTGATCCAAAATATGTAATCTCCGGTGACTATTTCTATTTAATATATGGTGAATGATGTAACCAGTAAGGAAAGGATGAAAATCAGACGATCCAACTATTTAATATCCTAAACCAATTAAAATAATGCTCTGAGAATAGCTCCCACATAAATTATGCATATCACGTCCGATTCTGATGCCGAATTCGATACAAAAGTTGTATGGACGTGATCACCAAAATCGGAAAGTTTTTCGTAAGGAATTCGGAATAAAAATATTAGATTTTCCAACCAAATTGGGATTAAAATTATTATGAAATTCTGCGAGAAATTTAGATTTTCTGACAGAAATCGGATCGAATTCTGAATAAAAATATTAAGATTTTTTGAAAAAACAATTTAAAAACACACATTATTTCAAAATAAGAATAATTTGAATCGTTTATTATGAACGTGATTTAGGTCCATTTTAGGCTCTTATACAAATCTCGGTTTTCTAGAAAAGTTTACATGTCATGTTTAAGGGCTCAAAGCCACAAAAAAATTAATACCACTTTTCAATATTTTTGAAATAAATCAAGCCTTTACATATCTCAATATGAGAAAAAAAATTGGCTTAAGGGGGACTCCCCCCCCCCATTCTCGTGGTCAAACATTTTGATTTAATTCGAATCTACACTAATACAAGAATGTCCCTGCAAAATTTCAAGTGAAAATCTCAAGAACTCTTGAAGATATTGCCGATTTATTGTGACAGCATCAAGTGACGGCTAAAGGGCTTCTCAAACTTTAAACGCGTTTTTCTCTGTGAGTGTATAGCTATCGTATGAACTAGGATAAAGCCAATCGGTGAAGATCTTCCTTATTTTTTAACTTGGTTTTTGGTAAAAATCGGCGATTTTCCAAAAAATATTTATTTTAAGGTCCGCCATTTTTTTTTTTTTAATTTTAGAGCGAAGTCAATAATCCTAGTTCATACGAGAGCCATACATGTACTCTTTCTAAAGCCGTTGGATTCCGTCGGATTCCGATGTTCCAGTGAGGAGCTATCATGCCCGCCATCAAAAAAAAAGGGCTTCTCTTTAATTACAAAAAACAACAACAAAACAATTTCAAAATTTTTTTGTAAATTATTTTTCTTCTCTTTTAAATCTTCAATTATATATGTGCAAAGTTACAAACCTTAACATGCATTGGTATTGATTTACCAGCCCATTGAAAATCTTGAAAAATTAAAATCGAGAATGGGTGGGGTTCCCTTAAACGGTGCTCGTTCCATATATATTTGTGTTTTTCCAACAAAAAAGTCTTTCTCTAATACGGATTTTCAATTAAGCAGTTTTTCATTTAAGCGAAGTAAAATGTTTGAAAATTCATCCGAAATATTAGTTTGTAATTTTTGGTTTCATTTAACCGATTTTTTCGATAAACCGGTGTTTAGGATATCAGGCAATCCACAATATATCTTTTAACTTATTGGTCTACATTACCCGCCAAGATGTTTTCCCCATTTTGAGTTTTTTATATAAACCCGAAGTTCCGCATCTGATTTTTTAAACCTTTATCTAATAACTTAACTTGCTACCCATTAAGAACCCAAAATTTCAAATTTAAAAACGTAGACAAAATACTAACAATTCCCTAATATTTATTCCAGTCCCATGGATATGAAATTAATTATACAGTGGATATTGAGAACTCCCGATAAATTAAACACCTCGATGTATTGAAAAATACTTTTACATGCGGTACGAATCGTTTCACGAATTCTTTAAAAGACCTTAATAACAACTTGGATACTGTGGACAGGATTTGCAAAAAGTACTTCACTAGATGCAGACATAACTATAAATCGAATATGCCAGGATCCTTTATCGGAATTGACAATAGCTGCAACATTACGTGATGTTTCACTAATCATTTTTTATATTTAATTGAAATTTATAATTTCGCTAATTATCAAAAATTACAAGCAAATGAAATTCCATAAAAATAGTTTTACCGTCGGCAAAATTAAAATGTCAAATACATCCCAAATCGTCTGACAGTTTTCAATGTCGATTTAGAATTTCATGGAGAATAATAAATATGTAGTTTACACTAGGTTTTTTAATCAAATAATTAAACCTAAAACCAACATAATGCTTGTTTTCTAACATAGGTTTTTTTTTTGTACCCGTTAAAAAGACCAATGAGTTGTTAGCGGAGTTTTGGTATGGAATATATCCTGACAGTGTTTAAAATAAGTTTTTGTTTCGCTTGTGGTAATTTCCCTATTCTGCAGAGTACTATTATATTCATAAACATGATAAATACAAGTTCTATCGATTTAAGGAACCGAAAAAACAACGTCAAGTTCGATCAGGTTTTATCTGTTCTCTTTCGGCCTCGTATGAACGGTTTAATATAATAAACCTAAATAATTTTAATCGAACCCAAAAAAACTCAATTTCTGAATAATTATATTCTCTCGAGTGTAATGGAATTATGGACAGCTATCAGCACCCAACCACCGGTTTTATAAAGCCTATCATTTCTATAAACATGAAAAAATTTTTCAAGAAGACAAAAATTGTATAATCCCAAACAAAATACTTTACACTTTCGTCGACAAGCCCGCCTTTAGACAGTGCGCAGTAAATACGTTGCAGAATCCTTTATAAAAAGTATGTTCTATCGGTAAATATAAGTAAAGAGATGATGTACACTCTTGCTAGGAAAAATCTACAATAAAAATATGACAATTATTAGAATTAATCAGAATTAATTAATAGTCAGAATTAATTAATAATCAGAATTATTAGCGTCAGAATCACTTTCTTCAGAAATTAATAAAAAAAATTTGACGTCTACAGGGTAAAGGTATTTTCGATTGGTATCAGGTCCTTCAATGTTAAAGTCAAGTAAAGTTATTGTAAAGAACTACTTTGTTTGAGGCGGATACATTTTTGGAAACAAGAAAACGTTTTTATATATAAACTTACTTTTTATACACGCACCCCTAAGGCTGAAATGTCTGTCGGGCTGGTAAATGCTGATTGGTGGGCAATAAAACTAGAAAGCAATTAACGATTTAATTCAAATTTTGCACATCGTAATATTTATTCCGAAAATATAGAATATCAGACCACTCCTTCTGGTACCTCCTACTTACAAATAGTAAAATTTATAATATCCTGTAAACGGATTATCCGTTTTTATCCAAACTTTACACAATCTAAAATTTTTACCAAAATTATATCACATTCGGTATCCTTCTGGTACCTCCCCCACAAAGGGTCAATATTTTGAAAATTAATAAATATTTTAAAATGCGAACGGAGTATGCGATTTGTTGCAAACTCTGCACATCGCAATACTTTTGCAAAGAACTTTTTTGAGTTTGAAAGTTGGATTTATAAGCCCACTCCTTGTAGTACCTTCCCACATAAAAGGTCAACATTTTGAACATGTGTAAATCTAATACGAAACTATTGATTATCCGATTTGACCCCAACTTCTCCTTTTTGTGACTCCCAAATATGGTACAACTTTAAAAATGGCAAATCTGCATCCATTCTAACAGGCCTAGGCTACTTGAATGTAGCCTAAGCCTCTTAAAATTTTTTTTTTTTAAAATTTAGCCGCATAACTTTGAACCATTCCATGAGTTAACTTCTACGCCTTTTTCAAATATTTTTCAAAACATTTCTATTGCAATTCGAAAATTTCATTTGTAATTCGAGAATGTAATTGGCAATTTACAACATTTCATATATAATTTTAAACTTTTAATATGGAATTAAAAAAATCCATTTGAAATTTTAAGAATTTCATTTGTAATTCGCATTTGAATATTTTCATTTGAACTTCAAAGAAATTAATTTACAATACAACAAATTTAATTGGAAATTCATAACAATTCACTTGTAATTCGTAATAATTCAACATATTCTTTATGTTTTACCAATAATAGTTTTCGTATTTAAAATTAAATGTTATAACAAATGAAATATAATGTATTTCAAATGAAAGGATATAAATTTCAAATGAAACGATATAAATTTCAAATGAAACGATATAAATTTCAAATGAAACGATATAAATTTCAAATGAAACGATATAAATTTCAAATGAAAGGATAAAAATTTCAAATGAAATTCTATTAATTTTGAAAGGCATTTTATGGCTTGCAAATGAAGTTCTCGAATTACAACCGATATATTGTGAATTACAAATGGAATTCTCGAATTACATTTGATATGTTTTGAATAAAATGTGAAAAGGGTGTAGATATTCTTATGTTGGCTTAATCCGAAGAGAGGACTTCAGTAAAATGGGCTACAGTTGACTACAGATATATTAGGATGCCGTCTGGAGATAAATAATGATTTCCTAGGAGCAACAATAATAAGTTCGCTGTTGTCCATATAATAAGGATGATTTGTTGAAATGCCATGTGCAGCTGCTGGAATTAATGATGGAGTAACTATTACAGCAGAATTAGTCAATTTATTTTTCTGAAGGTAAGGTCTCAATGGATGGATACTTGAATTGTTATATTGATTTGAATCTAAAGTGGATTTCACTTCGACATGAACCAAATTAGGGATAAGTAAATCGACTTTCGACTAATCGATTTGATCTTTGGGTAAATCGCAAAGTCGACTTTTCAAGATCGACTTTCGATATTCTTCATTAATACTTGGTTAATTGTCATAAAGCCCAATTTGCAAAAAAAAAAAACATACTCCAGAACTTTTTTTCGTCTGTTGACAAAAATTTATACACAAAATACAATTTTTAGTCGATTTTACATTAGTCCGTAAAAGTCGAAAAGCGATTTTGAAAGCTTTGACAAAATCGAAAGATCGCAAAATCGAGTTTTTAGTCAGAGGCAAAAATCGAAAAGTCTTATGGGTCGATTATGGAAAGCAATCAAACTCCACTTGCGAGTTCAACTGGCAACGCAATTGAAATAAAACTTAACATTATGAATATCAACTTTTCTCAGTTGCTGTCGATAATACTGTTTTGACATCTCTACAACTAGAAATTTTGTAAACAAACAAAAAAAATGAATAAAATATTTCAGAAAAACTAATTATATGTGGTGATAAGCTCAGTGGAACTATTTTTGATGATGAAAATTATGTTCAAGGTGTGTCATTTAATAGATCAATCTATTAGAACTACCATCAGTTCTGTGAGTAGATGCTGACGTTTAGAGAAATGTTCAATCAACTGCTCATATTAGCTTGAATGCGTATTTTCGACTACCAAAAGATGCCGTTGTGTACATCGATGAAGCCTTAAACCCTGGTTTCCGAAAAGCCTAGCGGTCAACAGCAATTCCTCCTCTCTTAAAAATGTGTGCTGATCTGATGTTTTTTGTGGAGGGAGTTTTCAAAAGTCCCATAGCAATGACTTCAACCTTGGCATGGCTCAACCGACAATGTCGGTGGTTTTCGCCAAAGTTATCCGGCTAATAGAGGAAAAACCATGTACAATTTTGATTGTATCCAAATTAACGGAAGAGGAAAAAGGGAAGAATAAAAATTTTTTATTCGAAAACTAAATTCCAGGGTGTTGTCGGATGTATTGATGATACACACGTACATTTCATGGACCCAAAAGATGATGTTCGCCACTTTCTGTTGGTGGGCCATAGCAGTTAAGGTCTTCTGAAATGGCCTTCCACACATCATCGATAGTGGCTTTGGTTTGACCAAAAGTCCGCACGCCGCGTGCTACATTTGGGTGAGCTTCCATCCGGGCAATAAGGAACTCAAATTGTTCTTTTGTAGTAATATTAACCATTATGGGAAGCCTACAAAGTTCAGTTATTATAAGCACCAACCAGAAATAAATGGTTGCCGAAAAATTCTATTTGAAGCAACTAAAGTTGACAATAGTTGCCATCATTAATGCAAATTTGGCAACTGGCAACGTAACTAAACTATGGTTGCCATCCGTAATCGACCCATTAAAGTCAACTTTTGCGATCGACTACGTATCCCTAGGCCAAATTCGATTCCGCAGCTTTTATTGTGAGTCTTGAATTTTCAGATATTGTGTACAGCTTTCTAAGGAAAACGTCACGAAGTTCGAAAGAAATTCCAAGTGAAGTTGAAGGTATGTTTCCAATCTGGATAATTGGATTGTTATATTGGCTTGTTGTTTAGACACTCCAGGTTCCAGTGTCCGAAATCTGATTCGAAATTTGAATTTTCTAAAGTTGAACAATGAAGTCCAGATCGGAACACATACTATATTATTGAATTAGGAGTGACTGTACATAATGGCTATGGGAATATAATGTGTTGATCTATTATTTTTTTTCAAAACTCAATTGTAAATATAAATTTTTATGAGTCAATTAATTTTCATTGAGTCAACATAGAAAAATTTAATTATTTTAAGAAAAATTACCTTTTTTCGTAATAAAAAATATATCCTTAATCAACAGCTAAAAACTTTTATAAGAAAACACAAAAAAATTCCACAAATATTTCAAAATAGTAACTTTGATCGATTCACTTCAAAGATCAGTTCGTTCAATAGTTCACAACAACAACCAAATTTAATTTAATTTTTTTTTCGAATAATTTTTTTTTCGAATATTTCTTTTCTCTTTAATTTTAATTAAAAAAAAAATTGCACTTAAAAAACCACGCACTTTGTAACTTCAAAAGTTAAAAAAAGAATGACAGTTGAATTTTTGATTTGTATATCAGACAGCGGCATACACCGCCGTGAATTGAAGTGATGATGAAAAAGGATGATGGCTGCGGCGAGTGGCCGCAGCGGGCATGTGTGAGGATGTCTGTGAAATATGTGGGAAAGGGGTGAGAAGTTAATGTGAAACGGCACGCGGCCATCCCATACGTGAATAAATCCGCGTCATATGAGGGAAAAAATCAAGAAAAACTTGTTTGGTTT